TTCAGGCCGAAATTCATAAATTTAAAAAATAACTATTAACCTAAATTTGGAAGACCACAATGCTTACTTCACACATTGTCCTCTTTGGTCCTAACAATCCTTCTTGGGGAGCACTTAAAGGGAGCTTCTTCTGCCCCCACTTTGCTCCCTTCCCATGCCCTCCTCAGGTCAGTCTTCCAATCAGCTTCTCTCTTTCCTGGTAGTCTATTTAGTTATCTTTTTAAAAATGTCTCCTCATGTAGAATATAAGCCAGCCAAACAGAGAATATGCCTGTCTTGTTTAGAGCTTTATCTCTAAGGCTTAAAACCTTGCAAAGTGCTCAGAAAATATTTTCTGAATAAAGGAGAAAAGGAATTCTGTATGTTTCGGTTAACGATGATTTACTTCAAGTGAAAAAAGTGCAAACAGCTGACAGTGTCTCTATCATTAGAATGATAACAAGAATCATTCTGGAAACGGCTCAGAAGAAATGAAGAAAAATCCAGTTCTGACCTTTTTCATACTTCTAAAGTTTGAATTTAAAATAGTGAGACACCATAATCACCACAACTGAATATGCGAAGATACAAAATTTGGTGGCAGGCTACACTGGGGAGGGCCTGAAAAGAGAGGCCCTTCCAAACAGTGCAGGAATGTGCTATTGGCCTAACTCTGTGGAGGGGAATTCATCACCATTTAAGAGAACAACACAAACACCTGGAGAGTCTGCCTTTGTGGATCATATATATGTATGATCACAGACATGAGAACGGACAGAATCATGAGGTTATGTGTCACAGCCTTGTTTACAATAACAAAATATTAGAAACTACCAAAATTGCCTCCACTAAAGGACCAGCTAAGTAAACTGATTCCCATCATGCAGTGGAAAACTTTGCAGCTGTCAAAATTAATGAGGATACTCTTTGTATATTCATAAGAAAAGTTTTCCAAGATAAATACCTGAGTGGAAAAGTACAGTGCAAAACAGAGTGTGCAGTATGCTATAAATTTTTGGATGTTGGGAAAGTATGTCTTTGAATTATTTGTACACGCACAAAATATCCCTGCAAGAATAAACAAGAAATGAATAGCAAGTGCTGCAAATAAATAAAATAGGAGCAAGAGAGGGAAGAGGGTCTTGTGTTATTCCCTGTTTCATTTTGATCTGGAAATCAGCAGAATGTTTATCTGTTCACATAGACTACTTTACATGCTTTTTAAATAAAAATGAGCTATTTTTTCCAATGTACACGCAGACTCAAAGAATGATCACTTGAGGAAGTTATGCTCGTCAAGTTTCTGTAGCTGTAACAAGATGATTTATAAAGAGAGAAAGTTTGAGTTCACATCTGTAGAGGTTTCTATCCAAGACTGGGCAGACCAATGGCCTTCAGCAATGGTGAAGCAGCACGTGAGGACAGGGAGCGTATGGTACAACAAAGGCACTCACCTTGTGATGGTCGGAAGCAAAAGAGAAAAAGGAAGAGACCAGAGTCCCACAATCACCTTCAAGGCCATGTCCCTGATGGCCTGAGTCTTCCCACCATGCCCCACATCTTAAAGGTTTCAAGCTCCTCTCACTAGCACCACATTGTGGCCGGGAATTTAGCTCAGTGGTTCTGCCACCTGCCTTGCAAGCTCAAGGAACCCGAGTTCGATCCCCGGCACCAATAAATAAATAAATAAACCCAGTAGCAACACATTGGAGACCTAGCCTATAATGCATGAACCCTCCGAAAAGAGTCCAGACCCAAATTATAGCAGAGCTTGAAGCAAGACATGTGGTTCCTAGAACCCAGATCTCACAGTGACGTTGCCATTGATGTCAATGTTAACCTTGGGTTGAATTTTCCCTTTCCTGGTCCTCAATGTGCCCATCTACAAGATAATAGGAGGAACTTGGTTTTTGTTTTTTGGTTTTTTGGTTGGTTTTTTTTTTTTTTTTTTTTTTTTTTCT